GTAGGACAGTGCAGTCGAATCCTCGCCCGGTCCTTGCTTGGCCCAGGGGCAGCGGGTGTGCCCCAAGCTGACGCTGAGCGGCTCCCTGGGCCAAGGCATTGGGCGGAGACTCCACCCGCCCGCTGCCCGCTGCCCCCACAGGAGCAGGAGCTGGGGGGCGCGCCCTGCCCGCGCCCTGCCCGCGCCCTGCCCGGCCTGCACACCCGCTTCCCTCGGTTCCCAGAGGCTTGCTCCTCGCCTTCACCAAGCGTCTTTCTAACATGCCAGAAACATCTCCATCTCCACTGAAGGCTACAATGTCCTCGTACCTGCTGTGATCAAACCCTTAAGGCCCGGCGCGTCTCTCCTCCTACAGGAAGCCCACCGTGTCCTCTCCCCAGCCCTCAGGGGTCTCCATCCTGGAACCCCCACCCTGACTGGCTTTCCCCAGCTTCACCCCCTTAGACAGGGAGCCCAGGAGAGCTCTGGCTCACCCCAGGGAGGGGAAGCAAAGGGAAGGCGCCCTGGAGGGCGAGGGAGGAGCGGACGGTGACTGACCGCCACCTAGATCCTTGTCTCAGCCGGGAGGCAGCCACCACCGTTTCACAAACGAGGGAACCGAGACTCAGCAGAGACCAGCAGCCACCTTAGAGTTCGCAGCTCCTGTGGAACTGGCTCGAATCAACTTCCTCCTGATTCCAAACTGTCACGTTAGAAGGAATTTGTTCCATGTTCTTTCCCTCCCCTGAGCTCGAAAGGACGCTCAGGCATTCCTGTCACCTTTTAGGTCAGACAGGCTCTTCACAGTGAGCCCCTTGAGGTGGACATTCCTGCTGAAGCCAAGCTCCTGCTTGCACACCTCCAAGGACAGGCTGCTCACGACTCCCCCACCCCAGAGCAGCTCTGAGTGTTGGAAGGTCCCCCCTAACAACAGAGGCTGGACGGCGACAGGCAGGAATGAAGGTGGTCACGCCAGCGACGGGTGCATGTTTTCCCCCCTCCGGCTTGTCCCCCATTTTTAATATTCCTTAATGTTGGCTGGAGCTCTGCTAATTTTACTATATTTTTTAAAGAGGTGGGAAACATTTGGCGAACATTCTGGAATCATTTGGCCTCAGGAAAAACATTTGTTTTGGCCTCGACACTGAGACAGTTGCATTCTTTGGAAATGCTCGCTGCCAAGGTATAGGAGTTTGAGGTTTTTTTAAAACCTAGAAGCAAATATTTGGTGCAGAGGAAGATCTGATTATTTTTCTAAATGGGGGCTTAAAAATGACTAGAGTTGTTCTTACCACTGCTAACAGGCAGAACCTGGGAGAATTCACTGGAACAGAGGAAAGGTGATCATGTGCATATCTTTGAGGAACAAAAAGGCTGTGATCCCTGCCCTTCCTTATGTTAAAATCCTGCTCCTGTCCCCTGGATCCAGAGGACAAGTCACTAAGGACCGGGCCTCCTCCCCGCCCCAGCTGCCCAGTAGGGCTTGGGGCTCAGAGCCAATTCCAAGGGGGTGCGGGGGCCCCACCAGCCCACCAGGACTCCCCACTCCCCCCCTCCTCCCAGTCCCTTTACTTTGGGGCCAGTAAACAAAAACTCTACACTGTAGACTGAGGAAGCTTACATCCCGCCTACTGGCCCCGCGACCCCCTAAATGTGCTGAGTGGCCAGAAGCAGCCAGTCCTCAGCTCGGGACAGCGCTGCTGCGGGGACGTGAGCGCCGATCTTCCAAAAGGGTCAGAGGAAGCGGATCGGAATTTCAAAATAGAATCTCCTGGCTTTTAAATGATAACAACTATGGTTTTTAAAAATTTAAATCCTCCGTGGGCGGGGCGGAATCTCTCAGGCCGTTTCTGACCTCTGTTTCCCGCCTGCGTCTGGTCCCTGGGCCCGGGGGGCCTTCCCACCGGCCTCTGGCTGTTGAGTCTCCACTCCTCTTTGAGACGCTCCCCCTTCTGTGTCCCCCAAAATACTGCACACCCCGCTCCCCCTGTGCTTGCCACTTTGTGTTGTGGGCGTCTCCCCAGCTCACCTGGGGAGTCAGGGCAGGCGGAGAGCAGGCAGCTTCCTCCCGGAGCCCCGGCCCGCAGCACCCCCAGCACCCCCAGCACCCCCAGCACCCCGCTGGAGGGGAGCTAGTCCTGAGCCGGCTTCACACCACAGGAAGCAGGGGCAGGATGGAGGGGACCTGGGCAGGAGGGGTGGGCTCCCCAGCCTGAGGTTCTGTTCACTGTGGGAGGCTCTTTGCTCAGCTGCTCCTCCTTTGTGGGGGGAAACAACAGCACTTGGAGCCTAATAGTCAGAGGTTCAAGTCCAGGCTCTCCCACTTACAAGCTGTGTAACCTTTTTTTTAAAGCTGTGTGACTTTTGACAAGTAACTTGACCTCTCTGAGACTGCAAAAGGCTGTGAGTTAGAGAGGAATCAATAAGACGCTTGCGTAGAAACCCTTCATCATCCAATTTCAGATAAATGTGAAAATAAAATGTCAGAACTAGGAGGTGTTGGGTTCCTCAGCCTCTCCTCACAGATGGGGAAGCTGAAGCCCATAGGTGGGGAGAGATTTGCCCAAGGTCCCAGTCAGAGGGTTGGTAGCAAGTACTGTGTTTTCAATTCCCTTGAAACCTCCCAGGCTTGGCAGAGTACTCGGCACATAGGAGGTTCCCAGATGTGATTTCTCCCTCCTCCCCTTTCTGTTAATCTTCACTGAGGATATTTTTTCCATTGATTTTTAGAGAGAGTGGAAGGGGAGGGGGGAGGAGTGAGAGAAACATCAATACGAGAGACACATCGATTGGTTGCCTCCTGCACTTGCCCCAACTGGGGGCCAGAGACTGAACCTACAACCCAGGTATGTGCCCTTGACCTGGAATCAAACCTGCGACCCTTCAGTGTGCGTGGGGTGATGCTCTAACCACTGAGCATCACTGGCCAGGGTTCTCTTTGCTTTTTAATCCAAATATCAAGAAGATGAACGTTTTTAGCATAAGTCCCTTCCAGTCTTAACTTCCAATCCTCCAGTGGGAAATCATTGTTTTGGACTCTCTCCAAGGCACCAAGATCCAGGGGATCAGCTCTCAGCTCTGCTGAACTGAATGAAATCACACCTAAAACGGATTCATTCCGTTGGGAGGGCCCTTCAAAACCAAGAACGCCAAAGCCACCACAATGTGTAGATGGGGAAACGGGCTCTTAGCGGGGAGGCCACTTGCCCAAGGTGCTCTGAAGGCTGTAGGGGAATTAGTGAGGGTGGGCAGGCTTTGGGGGTGGGCAGGTGGCTCCTCCGGGAGCTCCTGACCCCATAGCAGCCCAGCCTTGAGTGGGAAGAGCCAGATCCGTTTAAACAGAAGTGCCTTCCGGAGACCTACCCCTGTGCGAGGTGCTGAAGGCCTCTTGGGGACCCGTGGCCCATCCAGAGCCTACACTTTGGCTGCCCAACCTTGAACCCTGGCCTCTAAAAAGCTATGCAATGTGGGGAGAGATGGAGAAATGAATCCAGGTGAGCACCGAGATGTCTGGCTTTGGAGACCCTTCAACTAGTGACACCACCATCCCTCTTTCATTGCCTAAAGTGTCACAACCTTGGCAAGGAGCACCCCTGGCTGCCTCTCCAGTTTGACCCTGCTCTGTAAATCTGCACCTGAGGTGGATCGTATCTGCTAAGATCCACTTACTCTTCCCTCCCAGTTTCCACCCTAGGCCGGATGCAGCATGAGGCACGGGCGAGCTCTGCTTTAATCCACCACAGCGTCCAGCGCCTGGCGCAGTCCCGGGCACAGTGCTGGGAGTACAGAGCTGCTGAGCGAGTGAATTA